GTTGTTGCTGAAACCTGGTACTAGGAACCCTAGTGGTGTTCAGTCATTCGTGTGGAGTGTGGTGATTTATTAGGGCAGTAGAGTAACAATTTAGTTGTACAGCTTCCCGTTGTTTTCCTGTGCAGTCATGCGAGACAGCAGTGAATACAAATCAAGTGCGATGGTGCCTTCTGATTATCTGAATGTGCAGATGACCTCAATAAAACTGAATGGTGAGAATTATGTCCCTTGGGCTAAGTCTGATGAAGTTTTCCTAAAAGCCAAAAAGAAAGTAAAACATGTGAGGGAAGATAAACCCCCAATTGATTCTCCAGGATATGATGAATGGGAGCAGGAGGATGCTCAAATTATGACTTGGCTATGGAACAGCATGGAGTCCAAAATTAGTGTGAACTTCATGTTTTTATATACAACCAAGTAAGTATGGGATCATGCAAGGAAACTATATTCTRGACAAGATAACACTACTAGGATTTACCAACTGTACCAAGAGTACTTCAATCTGCAACAAGGGAATCAGTCTCGAGGACTATTATACCAGTATGAGAAATTTATGAAATGAGTTGAATGTTTATCATCCTCTTACACCTGATGTCAAAATTCAGCAACAACAGAGAGAGCAGTTGGATGTGACCAGATTTTTAGTAGAGCTGAAGTCTGAGTATGAACCCGTAAGGGCACAGATACTAGGTGGATCTGCTCTTCCCTCTCTTGAGGAAGTGTTTGCTCGTCTTCGGAGGATTTCAATTGGACCCACAGAGACCTCCACTATGTCAGATAGGTCTGCATTTGCAGTTACGAGAGGGGGAGGTCGTGGTGGTAGAAGAGGTCAGCATGGTCGTGGTAGTGGTGGTGGACCCATGTGTGGTCATGGTGGTGGTCGTGTTGGAGGACGAGACTCAGGGGGAGCCTGTGGTAGGGGACGTGGTAATACTCAGAGAAGATGTACTCATTGTGGTCTAGAGGGACATACTATCAACTTTTGCTATGATCTACATGGCCCACCATCAACCTGGGCAAATCATGCAGCAGTAAATGGTGGTAGCTCAAGACAAGAATCTCAAGTTACTGATCAGATCCCCACTACATCTACAGATACTTCCAGAAAGGAGATGGTGAGTTTCACGGGATGAGTATGAGCGGTTCATTCAGGGTACATCTCAACAGAACACGGCTACCCTTGCACACACAGGTACGGCTTGTCTGGCATCCACACCTTCCCGTTGGATTATAGATTCTAGAGCTTCCGATCATATGGCTGGAACTCCAGGTGTGTTTTCATCCATTTCTCCGTCCTCCACTTCCCAATCTGTTACTCTTGCAAATGGCTCTACATCATCCATACGTGGTGTTGATAATGTTGACACAGACTCATTATCCCTCTCCTCAGTGTTATATGTTCCTAAGTTTCCCTTTAACCTGATGTTTGTTAGTAAATTGACTAAGTCTCTTAATTGCTCAATAACTTTTTACCCTTCCTCTCGTGTGTTTCAAGATCTCAAGACGAAGATGAAGATTGATGGAGGGCATGAAGCTGGTGGACTGTATTATCTTGATGGAGGTGGTTCGGCAACGACTCTTCAGTCATCTCTCTCCCCTCATCAGTTGCACTGCAGACTTGGTCATCCATCTCTTAGAGCTCTTCAGTTACTTGTTCCGTCGTTGAGTCGTTTTTCTAATTTAAATCGTGAGTCGTGTCAGTTTGGGAAACATCATCGTGTCTCCTTTAGTCCTAAAGTTGATAGTCGTACATCGAGTCCTTTTTCTTTAGTCCATTCGGACATCTGGGGTCAAACAGAGTAGTGTCTTATAATGGTTACAAGTACTTTGTAATTTTTGTTGATGATTCAAGGATGACATGGCTTTACCTTATGAAAGAAAAGAGTGAATTGTTTTCTATCTTCCAGAAATTTTATGTTGAAATTCGCAATCAATTTGGTGTACATATTAAAATTCTTCGTTCTAATAATGGCCACGAGTATTTTTCCACACCCTTTCAAGAATATTTGGAACAACATGGCATTATCCATCAAATCTCATGTACCTACACCCCTGACAAAAATGGGGTGGTTGAAAGAAAGAACCGTCAACTTTTGGAAACTACTCGGTCCCTCTTACATTAGATGAATGTCCCCAAACCCTTTTGGAGTGATGTTGTACATACACCCTGCTTTCTTATTAACCGCATGCCCATGTCTATCCTTGAAGGTCAGTCCCCTTTCTCTATTCTTTTTCCCACGTTGTCTCCTTTTCCCCTTACTCCCAAAGTTTTTGGATGCGTGTGTTTCGTTCATAATCTTGGGCCTAGAATGGACAAGTTAGATACTAGACCCACTAAGTGTGTCTTTCTTGGCTATTCCAGGACTCAAAAAGGGTATAAGTGTTATAATCCTCGTTCTCGGCGTTCTTTTGTGTGTTCTAGTGTTACATTTTTTGAGTTTGTTCCTTTCTTCTCCAGGTCGGATACTTCTTCTCCTCCGTTGCCATCACCCCCTCTTTCAGTTCCTGTTGAGGATCCTGTTCCTCTTGTTCAAGTTGTGACCCAGTCTTTGACTCCACTGCAGCTACCTGAGAGAGGACCACCTATCTGGAAAGTGTATACACATTGTTAGGTACCAGCTCCTCCCCCAACTTCGTCACCGTTGACAGATCCAACAGTTGATCCCACCCCAGTCCCAACCCCAAGTTCTGACCTTGATCTTCCTATTGCTTTGCAGAAAGGTAAACGCAGGTGCACTCACCTTTCCGCTTCCCATCGACAGTTTGTTTCTATGTTATCCTCTGTCTCTGTTCCTAAGGATGTCCAAGAAGCCCTCACTTCTCCAGGTTGGCACCAAGAAATGGAAGAACTCTCGACCCTGACCCGTACTCATACGTGGGACCTACCACTCTTTCGCCTGGTAAGCATGTTGTCGGCTGTAAGTGAGTGTACACGGTTAAATACTTACCTGATGGGAGTGTTGAACGGTTGAAAGCTCRGTTAGTTGCCAAAGGTTATTCACAGCAATATGGTATTGATTACACAGACACCTCTCCAATTGCCAAAATTGGGTCAATTCGTGTTCTGATTTCTCTTGCTGCTATGTTTGATTGGCCCTTGTTTCAGCTTGATATCAAGAATGCTTTTTTACATGGTGATTTTCTTGAGGAGGTGTATATGGAGCAACCACCAGGGTTTGTTGCTCAAGGGGAGGGTGAGAAGGTATGTAGACTTAAGAAGGCTATTTATGGACTTAAACAATCTCCCCGTGCATGGTTTGGGAGATTTAGTGAAGTGGTGAAGAAGTTTGGAATGAAACATTGTTAGGTTGATCATTCCGTATTCAGCTATGAATCAAATGCTGGGAAGATTCTCTTGGTGGTATATGTAGATGACATTGTTATCACAAGTAGTGACAGACTAGGAATTGACAGGTTGAAGACTTACTTGAATGATCACTTCCAGACAAAGGATCTGGGCAAATTAAGATACTTCCTGGGGATAGAGGTTGCGAGGTCCAAGAATGGTATTAATTTGTGCCAGAGGAAATATGTTCTTGATCTGTTAGAAGAAACAGGGTTGTTGGGTGCAAGACCAGCTAAAACACCTACGGAACTGAATGTTAAATTGGGTAGTGATACAGGTGAGGAGTTTGAGGATCCGGGAAGGTACAAAAGGTTGGTGGGTAAGCTTAATTACCTAACCATCACTCGACCTGATATCTCATTTGCAGTCAGTGTAGTGAGTCAATTTATGCAGAATCCTCGAATCCCACACTAGAGGCAGTCCTAAGGATTGTGAGGTATTTGAAGGGTACTCCAGGTCGTGGTTTGTTGTATAAGAGTGGAGGAAGTCT